TAATAGCCTTACATCCAGTTTTTTTTCTTTTTTCATTTTCCTCTATTTTTTTGCATTTTTGTGCCTAAGGGCTTACATAGTGCCGAAAGGCTTACATAACAATATGTATATTTTTACAAGTTGGCGATTTGGGTGCCACCCATTCTAGACATAGAAACGCTTAAGGGAAGCAGCGTTCCAGGAATGGTTGAACTCTTCGCCTTCCAGCGTCGCTAGGTGAAAGGAGCCTGTCCTGGACCTGTACTTGATGAGGTATGGCCCTTCCCACTTCAATTCAAGCTTCCCGACCGCCACCGGGTTCGCCTTCTTCCTTAGGACGAGATGACCAGGCAATAGCTCTGTCGGTCGAACTTTTTTGTTATAAGTTGCCGAAGTGCTTGTGGCGTATTTGCGCATGTGTTCCAGTGCTTCGACTCTCACCCTTTCAAGGAGTTCGAGTGACACCTCGCGCCCATCTTCACCTCCAGAGAATATTACCCTTGGGGAGTTAGCCCCTAGCTCAGTTGGGGTCATTGCTTCATCGCCATAGAGAAGCATGAACGGGCTGAACTTGGTTGGCCTTGTGGGGGTCGTTTGAAGGGCACAGAGAACAGATAGCATTTCGTCTGGCCGTTTACCCTTCGCCGCCCCCTCAAGCCTTTTCTTTAGCGCCTCAAGGATTTTGCCATCTGAGCGTTTGGACGCCCCATTTGACTGTGGGTGTGCGACCGAAGCGAACCTGATTTCCAGATTTAGCCCTTCGCACATTTCTCTGAACTTATCAGAGTCGAATTGCTTGCCGTTGTCAGCGATGAATTCTTTTGGCACTCCGAAACGGCAAACAATGTTCTTCCACACGAACTTCTGTACAGCTACCGAAATGATCGCACTGAGTGGTTCGGCTTCGATACAACGGGAGAAGTATTCGATGGCCATAATTGCGAACTTGTACCCATTTCGCGCCACTGGGGATGGGCCGATGATGTCTAACCCCCATCTGGCGAAAGGCCAGACTGGTGCTATAGGTTGCAGCTCATACTGAGGTGCCGTTTGGCTTCAGCCATGCCGCTGGCAACTTTCGCACTTCTTGGCTTGCTCGACACAAACTTTCAGCACGGTGGGCCAATACACTCCCTGGCAGAACACTTTGGAGGCAACCGTTCTTGCGGCTTGATGTGCACCGCACAGCCCCTGGTGTATCTCTTTCGCCATTTCCTCTGCTTCGGCGAAGGAGATGCAGTGAAGTAAGGGTTGGAGCACCCTGGAGCGATACAGCTGGCTGGAGACCAGCTTGTATTTTGTGGCTCTGAGCTGTAAGCGCTTCGCTTCTGCTTCATCCTCCGGGAGCCAGCCGTTCTTGAGGTACTTGACAAACGGTGTTCGCCAATCCTCTGGATCTTCGCCCAGTTCTGCCTGGTCGATTGCCATGATGTCCAGGCTTTCTGTGGGCACACTTGGTGCGTACAAGACTTCAAAAAAGATGCTTGGTGAATGCGGGCCTCCACAGGCGGCAGATTTCGCCAGGGTATCTGCTTCCTCATTCTGACCTCTAGGTAAGTGTTCGACCGTTATACCGGCGAAGCACTTTTCCATAGATCGAACAGCCTCTAGATACCTTTTCATTCCTTCTTCTTTTGTCTCAAAGGATTTGTCAACATGACTTGCCACCAGTTTGGAGTCTGTTCGGATAAGCAAGCGCCGAACCCCCAACTCTTTCGCCTTTCTTAGGCCCAACAGTACAGCTTCGTATTCGATCGTGTTGTTGGTCGTGTCGAACTGCAGCCTTGCAGCATACCAAATCGGCACGCCCCTTGGCAAAGTGAGTACCGCCGCGGCGCCCGCCCCCTTGTGTGACCACGAGCCGTCAGAGTACATTACCCAAGGCTGTTCAACGGGCTCGGGTTCAGGGGAGAATGCAGGTGTCCATTCGGCCACGAAGTCAACTAGGACTTGAGACTTGATGGCACTGCGGGCGACAAAATGTAGGTCGAAGGGAGATAGCTCCGCCGCCCACTTGCTGAGTCAGCCAGTAATTTCCTTGCCCCGTAGCACTTCGCCCAAAGGGTACTGCGACGGCACAGTGACTTTGTGGGCCTGAAAGTAGTGCTTAAGCTTGCACGAAGCCATTACTAGGGCGTAAGCAAGCTTTTCTATTTCGATGTATCTTGTCTTCGCCCCTTGCAAAGCTTCAGAGACAAAATACACTGGTTTCTGGCCTGACTCTATCTCTTGGACAAGAGCTGCACTGACCGCCACCAGCGAGGCTACTAGATAGAGCAGCAGTTCGCTTCCCGGTGCTGAGCTGACCAAGGCGGGTGGGCTTTGCAGATACTGCTTTAGCTCGTCGAACGCTGCTTGGCATTCGGGTGTCCAGCTAAACTTTCCCGCACCCCGGAGGGTCTTGAAGAAGGGCAAACCTCTTTCGGCTGCCTTTGAGAGGAATCAACTGAGTGCCGCAATTCGGCCCGCGAGCTTTTGTACTTTGCGTACGCTCGACGAAGGCTTCATTTGCTGAATGGAATTGATTTTCTCGGGGTTCGCCTTGATACCCCTTTCAGAAACAAGAAAACCCAACAACTAGCCCGCGTGAACACCAAAAGCACACTTCTCAGGGTTTAGTTTCACACCGGCCGCGCGCAAGTTGTCGAAGGTCTCCTGTAAATCGGACGCATGGTCGAAAGCCTTGCGGCTTTTCACGACGATATCGTGGACATAGGCCTCCACATTTCGCCCCAACTGCTTGTAAAGGACCTTGTACACCAGCCTAGTGAATGTTGCTCCGGCGTTCCTCAGATCGAAAGGCATCCTGAGGTGGCAGAAAGTGCTGAACGGCGTGATGAAGGCTGTCTTGGGGATGTCGGCCGGATTCATATGAATCTGATGATAGCTGGAGTATGCATCCAAAAAGCTCATGAGTTCGCAGCCAGCCGTCGAATCAACAAGCTGGTCGATCCGCGGTAGGGGAAAGTTGTCTTTAGGGCAGACCTTGTTTAGGTCTGTGAAATCAACACACATGCGCCATTTGCCGTTCAACTTTCTCACCAAAACCGGGTTCGCCAACCACTCTGGGTGGTCGATCTCCTGGATCACCCCAGCCTTGAGCAGCTTCTGTACTTCGGCCTTTGCTGCCTCTTGGCGATCGGCCGACATCTTGCGTAGCTTCTGTTTGCTTGGCTTGGCCTCCGGCTTGACCGCCAAATGATGCATGATGAGGTCCGTAGAAACACCTCCCACTTCGTCGGGGCTCCAGGCGAAGATGTCAATGTTTTTCTTGAGAACCTCTAGGATGTTTTCAGCTTCCCTTTCGCCCATGTCACCCCCAAGTGAAACGAATCTTGTGGGATCGGCATCATCGACCTTCACCTTGATCACCTTGCCGTGCGGGGTGGGCTTCGGCGTGTGCCTTGCACGGTCATGCGGTTTGGCCTCAACATTGTGAATTGCTCTATTGATTGCGGCCAAATTGCCTTATAACGCAGCCGAAGACTGAGACCCCTTGACCACGATCATGCCTGTCAGACTAGGCATCTTGAGCTTGAGGTAGTTGTGGTGGGAGACGGCTTCGAACTTGTTCAAGGTTGCACAGCCGAAGATGGCGTTGTAGCTGTAAGGGATGTCGACGACATCGAACAGTATTTGCTTTTCGCGCCTGTTCTCTTCCATGCCGAAAGCTACCATCAGCTGTACTTGGCCTAGGACTAGAACTGCTTCGCCGCCAAAACCACGAAGCGAGGCTGGCGCTTGGGTGAGGGCTAGGGTTGGCAACCCCATCTTGGCATATGCTTCGGCGAAGATGACATCGGCCGAACTCCCTCCGTCGACCAGGATTCACCGGACTTCGAAGCCAGCTACCTCGGCCGAGATCACTAGGGGGTCTTGATGTGGGAACAGCACTCCTTCGGCATCTTCTGGCCCGAAAGATATTTGCTGACTCAAGTACCTCAGAGTCCCTTTGCCTGCCGAAGCGATGTTGTGCACCATTCGCAGCTGCAACTTCTTCTGTCGCTTTGATGGCTGAGTTGGCATCTTCGCAGGATGCGCATGACGGTGTGAGGAAAGCTGGAAAGGGGAGAGGAGGACGCGCGTAAGGAGCGCGTGCGGAGGGGAGAGGGTCTGCAACGATTCTGAGGCGTTGCATCGGATGATTCTGGACCGTCGGATTTGATGAATGAGGTTTGTATAAGAGTGTAGTTGGTGAATTATAGGGTAGATTGCACTTAGTGGGGATGGCTTGTACAGGCATAGGATGCCGGCCCAGTGAAAAGGCCATAATGTTGACAGCACCTGGGCCACTGAATCGAGGCCTGAGATGGGAGGCGTTGTAATGGGCTTAGAAGTAAAGCTGTCCACGGATTCCAGCAAAGCGCTTCAGTGAGCCACCGCGTCGTCGCGACGCCACGCCGCGCACCGGCTCAGGGACTAGGGCACGCGCCGCGGGGGAGTTGGCCGGCAATCCCAACCCACCCCAAAACGGAGGTGAAATTTAGCCGGAGCGGTCGAGCCGCCGCGGCCTCGTCGGCGTGGAGAGACGAGGACACCGCGCGCGGCGCGTTGGGTTAGGATTTGGATCCGCGGGTTCCTCTGCGCATAAATTTCGCGCGGCGCGGCGGGTTAGGATTTGGATCCGCGCCTCGCCTGCCACGAGACAATCGGTTGCATCTGCTACTGCATCCTGTTTCTTGCAACCAGGTACGCTTTGCCCGCAATTCCTTGTGTTTGTGTAGCAAATTTGTTGTACATGTAGTTCATACAGAAAAGGGGACGAATGCTTGCAAATTGCAACCTCTAGTTAGGGTAACAATGGGATGTGTTCTTCCTGATACCACTCACTCGCTAACCTGTAATCATGAACAAACTGGACACTAGATTACACGAGATTGTTTTAGCCCTGTATTTCTCCTACTACATTCACCAATTGTCTGAATTTCTGCAAAGCTCATACTCAAACTCTGCTGGGTAAAAACATTAGTTTATTACTTGTATTAATTAGTCCATCAACCAAGAGGGGACAACTTACTATCCAGACGAATCACATCATTAGCGAACTCTATGATATCTACGGCTCATCAGATAGGGGCCTTATTTCATCAGAATCAATAAAAGTTTCACGCATCCGCTAGAGTTTGATGCTACCGAATGGTTAGTAGATTGGCTGTGAAATCTATGGGTAACTGAATCAGGCGAATACTGTAGGCTGTCCTTCAGCAGATGGGAATCTTCCTTTAGAGAAGCATTCTTGTTTATCTTTTCCGCTGGACATTCCCTGTTCTTGATACAATGCAGGACCTCCACTACCTCCTTGATTGATGACCTGTTATCTGTGTCCATCTGCAAGCACTGAAAGGCCAGCTCGGCCACCAGATAGCATCCTCTTTGTTTCACTGTCAGTCTCACAACCGATCTCTGGGTCAACCAACTCAACTTCATGGTTCTGAATTCTGTTGAGAGCCATGTTAGCCAAGTTAATGTCACTGTGGCTCCTGGACATGTCCACAGCTGGTTTTGAGGAAATTAGCTCTATCAACACAACACCAAAGCTGTAGACATCACTCTTATCGGTTAGCTTGTAGCACTGGTGGTACACTGGGTCAACATACCCTGGTGTGCCCTGTGGAACAGTTGAGACATGGGTGACTTCAAACGGGAACAGGCGTGATAGTCCAAAGTCCGCAACTTTTACATGGAAGTTGTTGTCTAGCAATATGTTTTTGGTCTTGACATCACGGTGTATGATTTCAACTGCATGAAGGTATGCCAGTGCCTCAGCCGTTTCTATGGCAATTGTCATTCTTACAGGCCATGTGAGGCCTCGTTCTCCTGCACGGGGTCCATGAAGATGGTCTGCAACTGTTCCGTTTGGGATGTACTCATAGACCACGAGAAGGTCACGGCTAGAACGAGACGTGCAGCCATATAGGGTAACAATATTCTGGTGCAGTAGGCGGGACAAGATGTCTACCTCATTTAGGAATTGCTCTACTCGTCTGTAGTTGTTCTTGTAAAGGCGTTTCACTGCAACTACTCTCCCATCCCGGAGCTTTCCTGAATGACAGAAAGGAAGAATTGGAATTGCTAAGTTAATAGGAGAAGTTATCTATTATGGAATAAAGTTGAACGGAGCTCCTGTCGCATGCAATTAGGCATGCTAATGAGAAGTGATTAGATGGGAAATTTATTAACCACAAGGGAGTTGTGCAAATATATTCTCCTACCTTTGTAAACAGTTCCAAAACCACCATCACCAAGTTCCCTTGTGGCGCTAAATCCAGCAGTAGCCTCTTCAAGTTCCTCGTAAGTGAAGATATGGGGAGAACCACCCAACTCAAGGTATTTGCTGTATGATTGCATTGAAGATGAACTACGCATGAGATCTTTCAAATCTCGGGTTTGTTTCTCTTCTTGCGCTTGTGCCAATCAAAAATGAAGATGCATATAATAAACAATGTTCCTCCACCTGCTCCAACTCCTGCCAATAACAAATAGACAACATTAGCAATTTATTTATGCCGATCAGATCTGAAACATTTTATCTTCCTAATTTTAGTTTTAATGGTTGGGGAAGACCCTGAAACAAGAATGAAGGGACAAGAAGGGCACTTGAGGTTGGTATTTACCTATTGCAATTTTCTTTAGATTGCTTCTTGCACCTGCAGAAGACAAACTTTTAGTAGCCTGCACTTAATATCATGAACAAATAGAATAATCATTCAAAATATAGTAGTGACAATTCGCCAACTTTGGTATATAGATGAGAACTTAATCTCCCTCACAAGTCATAACACTCAGAAAGTATATTAGATAGTCCGGTGATCTTCATTACTTCAAACAAGACAATCAAATGAACACACTGATTAAGGCTTAGAAAATGAAAGGGTATTTATTGTCAATCAGATGAACAATTTCGTCAGTCTGCAATCAGCAGGACAAAAACAAGAACAGGGTATTGGTATGGCATCTTTATCAGACAGTGTAGTTGAATGCTTCTAACTACACGTTACACGTTTGACTAGGAGTACATAAGATGCCAATGTCTCCATCAGTGAAATAATTGTTTGAGGAACTAACAACAAAAAACCACAGGAACTTGAAGCAAAGACTCATAATTCAAAACACAATATCAATATCCACTCTGTTCCGAACACTGCTATGACCATGGCGGGGTTTAGTTTCTTTTCTTGATAGCCAACTCTACGTCACGTGCAATATTATAGCAGTTTATCTAGTGGACATTAAGCCGCAGATTAGCATGGAAATATTCTTATATGACAGAATGATGCCTCGTTCATTTTTTAAAAAAAAAGCTATCTACAAGATGGGCACTTTGGATGCATTGAATCCGTTAGTAGGGTCTGCGCAGCATGTTCAGGAAACTCTATTTAATACAAATCGACTGGGTAAGTTTACCGTGATATTTTGATTTCACAAACTCACCACACTTCTCAGGGTGCAGCCCGTCGGTGCAATTGCAGGCGAATCGCAGGCCGTCGCCATATGTGCATTGCCCTCCGCTTGCTACGCATTTGGGGCAATCACCTGATGCCCCCGCCCAATCCAGGAGAAAACCACTCATGCTGGCAACGTAACCATCTCTACTCCCATTGGGATGCTCAAGGATCGGCACCATCTCTACTCTACGTTTGATATGACAAATCACATCATATAGAAAGTATTTAGTATGGATTTATCATGAAATCATGTTTGTTAGAGAAATCTAATTTTTATTTTATTTTTACTGTGCAGATAGAAGTGGGGTTTGTGTGGATATGAAGGAATAAATGGCCATCTTAAGAGAATTTGGAACGATAGAGGGCATGGAAAACCTGCTACCTGAAGATGTGCTCAGCAACATCATCCACCGTCTTGCACCACGCTACCTTGCCATATCCCGCTGCGTCTGCAAGACCTGGTGTACCATCATCGAGGCCCACAACCTGCTGCATGTGGACCTCCTCCCACGGCCGTTGTGTGGAATCTTCATTAACTTTAATGAGTTAAGCATGTCAGAGTTCTTCTCCCGCCCCTCAAAAGGCCCAACGGTATCTGGCAACTTTGACTATTTGCCTTGCAGCTCCTGCATTATAGACCACTGCAATGGGCTTCTCTTGTTTCACAAGTATGTGGTTAACCCAGCCACACGACAGTCGGCGCCACTGCCCCCATGCCCATATATGGTCGTAGAGCACATTTTCCACAGGGAGTACCTTGTCTTCGACCCCACGTTGTCACCGCATTTTGAGGTATTCATGATCCCTGAGATCCGACGATCCAATGTGTGGTATAACATGTTGAATTCAGATGACAAGTTAGACCCTGCAATAGAGGAATTAGAATGGCCACCGTCGCCTTGCATCCTGCATGTGTTCTCATCAAGGACAAAGGTGTGGGAGGAGAGGTCATTTGTTCGAGAAGGGGAGGCTGCAGGGAATGTTTCTGACATGCGGTTGGATCACCCATATGTTCCAGACACTTCTGTTTATGTTCCAGACACTTCTGTTTATTGCCGGGGAGTACTTTATGTATATTGCCAAAACAAGTATGTTATGAGGTAAATACTCACTTCATTGGCATTATCATTCATCTTTGTACCTAGTAATGAAACGAAAATTCAATTGTCGTTTATTAATATTTCTCAAATATTTGATTCTTGTAGAATATCATTATCCAATGGGAAATATCAAGTAATCAAGCCACCTTCAGATTGTGAGGGGATGGCATACACAAATCTTTATTTGGGAAAATCAATGAAAGGGGTGTACTGTGCTGTGCGTCACTTGGCATCCCGTTTTTTGATCTATATTCTTGATGAATCGAGTGACAGAATGGAGTGGGTATGCAAGGATTCGTGTAGTATTCAGCCATGTCAAATAATTGACGGGCCTGGACCCTGGACTTTACAAGATATTAACAATCAGGAGCGGGGATTTGAGTATGAAGACGGTAACAATGAGGCAGTGGTAGAGGACAGGTTTGAATGGGACTCAGACAATGATAATGTTATTGAGACCAACAGCAGGGGATCTGGTGGTTATATTAATTTTCTTGTTGACACTACAAGGAGGGGCAGATATAACTCTGGTGGTTATATTGATTTTCTTGGATTTCACCCTTACAAGGAGGTTATCTTCTTGAGTGATTCGTTGAGAAGAGGATTGGCCTACCACTTAAATAGCTCAAAGATTCAAGACTTGGGCAGCCTCCGTCCAACAAATTATGGAACAGAGGTGGGCATTCAGCCATTTATACAAAAGTTTTTTCCATACTCACCTTGGATGGGACGGTTTCCAGAAGACAATTAATTTCATCTGGAAGATTACGATGTATTGCATATGAAGCATTGGTGCTCAGGACAAGCTGTGAGGTGCAACTTGAGAGTTCGTACCAGCTGAGTTTCTCAAGTTGTTCATTCTATCCAGTAAGAAATTATTTGATGTTAGACTACAGGACATGGGACCTGTCTGCTGTTACTGTTGCATGAGCTCCTGCCATTTTCTGCTTCCGTATGCTTGCTACAATGGAAGTTTAGATGTTACAAATCAACAATTATGGTCAGTCTCATGAAGAAGAACGTCCCATTCATGATGGGCGATAAGTCCCATACTCAATGTTGGAGGCATGCCATGAAGCCCTTCGGCCGGACCTGCCGAAACCATAGTACCATCAAGGATTCAAGCCAAAGCCGTCAAGACCACTTGGGCGAAACCCTATGGCGAAAGCCATAAGCGAAGGTGGCGAAGACTGTAAAGCCGTCAAGACCAGTTGGGCGAAGCCCTATGGCGAAAGCCATAAGCGAAGATGGAAAGCCGCGTCGGTACCCCGCAAGTAAAGGCTTCTCGGGCGAAGGCATCTCGGGCGAAGGGCGTATGACGAACCACAAAGACTTTGCCATGACGAGTTCGGCATCAAGGAGGCCCAACAGGCGGCCCCCGACCTTTAAGGCCCCTTCGCCAAGAGGCCCATATATGCAAATGACACTGCGTACCCATGTAAATGTCCCTTTTATAAGGGCAACCATGTAAAATCCCCTGTAAACCTAAACCTAGAAGGTGTAAGCCTGTGCTAAGGCTATAAATAGACCCACAGGGCCATGTAGTGGGGGGATCCCAAAAATTTTATCAATCAATACATTTATTGCTTTTCCAACACTGTTGAGTAACCACGTCCTTCGACGTGACGCAGTTGTCCATTCGACAACAGTTGGCGCCGTCCGTGGGGAACCCAGACCAAAAGGGTGAAATGGGAGCCCCTTCGCCACGCCATGCCCTTCGCCACAATACCAAAAAGGTATGGCGTCAAGGGCTGGGGGCGAAAAGGTTTCGCCACATCCACACCCTTCGCCACAGTACCAATAAGGTACGGCATCGGGCTAAGGGTGTAAATTAGTTAAGTCCCAGCAGGGGGGCTTCGAAGCCAACCTAGTCTCTGGACACCTTTCACCATCCCCAAGCCCTTCGCCAAAATACCAATGAAGTACGGCGTCAAGGGCTGGGGGTGAAAAGGTTTCGTCGCACCCATGCCCTTCGCCACAGTACCAATAAGATACGGCGTCAAGGGCTGGGGGTGAAAATTAGTTAAGTCCAAGCTGGGGGGCTTCGAAGCCAACCTAGCCTCTGGACACCTTTCGCCACCCCCAAGCCTTCGCCAAAATACCAATGAGGTACGGCGCCAAGGGCTGGGGGCGAAAATGAGTTAAGTTCAGAGGCGAAAATGTGGGCCGCGAAGCCAACCAAGCCTCTGGACACCTTTCGCCACACCCACACCCTTCGCCACAGTACCAATAAGGTACGGCGTCAAGGGCTGGAGGCGAAAATTAGTTAAGTCCAAGCTGGGGGGCTTCGAAGCCAACCTAGCCTCTGGACACATTTCGCCATACCCACACCCTTCGCCATAACACCAATGAGGTATGGCCTCAACGGCTGGGTGCAAAAATGAGTTAAGTCTAGAGGCAAAAATGGGGGCCGCGAAGCCAACCTAGCCTCTGGACACCTTTCGCCACAACACCAATGAGGTACGGCGCCAAGGACTGGGGGCGAAAATAAGTTAAGTCTAGAGGCGAAAATGGGGGCCGCAAAGCCAACCAAGCCTCTGGACACCTTTCGCCACACCCACACCCTTCGTCACAACACGAATGAGGTACGACGCCTAGGGCTGGGGCGAAAATGAGTTAAGTCCAGAGGCGAAAATGGGCCGCGAAGCCAACCTAGCCTCTGGACACCTTTCGCCACACCCACACCCTTCACCACAACACCAATGAGGTACGGCGTCAAGGGCTGGGGGCGAAAATAAGTTAAGTCCAGAGGCGAAAATGGGGGCCGCGAAGCCAACCAAGCCTCTGGACACCTTTCGTCACACCCACACCCTTCGCCACAATACCAATAAGGTACGGCGTCTAGGGCTGGGGGCGAAAATGAGTTAAGTCCAGAGGCGAAAATGGGGGCCACGAAGCCAACCAAGCCTCTGGACACCTTTCGCCACACCCACACCCTTCGCCACAATACCAGTGAGGTACGGCGCCAAGGGCTGGGGCGAAAATAAGTTAAGTCCAGAGGCGAAAATGGGTGCCGCGAAGCTAACCAAGCCTCTGGACAGCTTTCGCCACACCCACACCCTTTGCCACAGTACCAATAAGGTACGTCATCAAGGGCTGGGGGCGAAAATGAGTTAAGTCCAGAGGCGAAAATGGGGGCCGCGAAGCCAACCTAGCCTCTGGACACCTTTCGCCACACCCATACCCTTCGCCACAATACCAATGAGGTACGGCGCCAAGGGCTGGGGGCGAAAATAAGTTAAGTCCAGAGGCAAAAATGGGGGCCGTGAAGCCAACCTAGCCTCTGGACACCTTTCGCCACACCCACACCCTTCGCCACAGTACCAATGAGGTACGGCGCCAAGGGCTAGGGGCTAATTCGCCCAGGGTAATCTTCGCTGGAGGCAAACGAAGAAAGCTGGCAACGGTTAAAACGATCGAAGTACCTAAAAGGACCGAAGGCCGGTAACGGTTAAAAAGGTTGAAGTGCAAAAAGACCGAATGCCGGCAACGGTCAAAACGATCAAAATACCTAAAAATACCTTTGCCAAAGGCAAAAAGGGGAAGTATGAGCCGAACCCATTTATTTGCCAAAAAAAGCACAAGTTACAGATAAATTCCATTGCCCGCCAAAAAGCATTTGGACTTTAGATCCGATTCATCAGCAAAAGCTGTCCTCAATGGCGAAGGACTACCCCCCTTGAGCATCTTCTTCATCGCTAGTTGTCAGATCAACAAAAATTTTTAAGCGGTGAAGAAGGAAAAACGGGGACTATGCTGTATCGACGCTGGGCAATGGCAAACTGGCGCTCGGACATATAAAAATTCATGGGTGTCTTCGCCTTTTTTGTGTATAATATTTCGTGGAAAAACCTCAAGGCAAACGTTTGATCAACGAAAACGCCAGGGGAGCGACACGAATCGGCCGAAGCACTGCTCGCCGAATGTTGAAACCGCGACAGCTCGTTTTCGGAAAACACACCGATTGTCGCTACACTCGACTTATGCAAATACTTAAGCGTTTCGGGACGCGTATGCCAAAAGTCGAGAGCGAATGATGAGGGCTAAAAAGTCGACAAATCTTTTCGCTAAAATCACGCAAAGGGCCTACATGTCTCGACCTAACGAAAGCATGAAAGTGACTATGCGAACATTAGCAAAAAGAAATTTGAAACACACATAAGCTCCATTAGGCGAAAGCATATAAAAAAAAGAGCTACAGCTTCGCCATAAAAAGGCGAAAACGAATCGGCCGAAGCATCGCTCGCCGAACGTTGAAACCACGACAGCTTGTTTCGGAATAGAGATACTGAACGCCGTTACATTCGACTTACGCAAAACACAAGTGTTTTTCCTAGCGCAAAATGCTACGAGTCGAAAACGGAAGTCAAAAGCTGAAAAGTCAACAAATCTTTTCCTCAATCCCTAAAAGGGGGCCGAACGCATGACTCTCGGCGAAATCCCCGCTAAAGCAATAGGGAAAAGGGGAAGGAAAAAATACAAGTCAAGAATCGCGCAAAGCAGACAAACTTGGCAAAATATAATCAACCAGTGCCATAGTACAGCTTCGCCATTCTCGAAAGGCGAACGCTAGTGTTCATATTTTTTCTGCAGAAGTCTAAAAAGAGGTTTCGGCAGGAACATCGGCCGAAAGGGGACGCCTCATGCCATACCGTATAGTTTGCACGGTCTCGGCCGAAGCTCCTTACTCACCCTTGCCCGTGAGGGGCTTGTTGGAGGCATGCCATGAAGCCCTTCGGCCGGACCTGCCGAAATCATAGTACCAGCAAGGATTCAAGCCAAAGCCGTCAAGACCACTTGGGCGAAGCCTTATGGCGAAAGCCATAAGCGAAGGTGGCGAAGACTGTAAAGCCGTCAAGACCACTTGGGCGAAGCCCTATAGCGAAAGCCATAAGCGAAGATGGCGAAGGCTGGAAAGCCGCATCGGTACCCTGCAAGTAAAGGCTTCTCGGGCGAAGGCATCTCGGGCGAAGGGCGTATGGCGAACCACAAAGACTACGCCATGACGAGTTCGGCATCAAGGAGGCCCAACAGGCCGCCCCCAACCTTTAAGGCCCCTTCGCCATAGACTAGGCCTAGCCTATTGGCCCATTAAAGACCCATATATGCAAATGACACTGCGTACCCATTTAAATATCCCTTTTATGAGGGCAACCATGTAAAATCCCCTGTAAACCTAAACCCTAGAAGGTGTAAGCCTGTGCTAAGGCTATAAATAGACTCCCAGGGCCATGTAATGGGGGGATCCCAAAAATTTTATCAATCAATACATTTATTACTTTTTCAATACTGTTGAGTAACCACGTCCTTCGACGTGACGCAGTTGTCCATTCGACAACACTCAATTAACAATTGAACATGGCAGTGTTCAAGTTTCTAATCCCACATCTAGCTACGTAACGTGTCATTTTAGTTTTATTTATCCGGATCAAACCTTTCAACTTGACTTTTATTTATGGAAAAATGCATCATTAAAATAGTTTGTTAAATTGATCGTTCCATATGATGCCTTCCTGTTAGAATCATTCCAGATGATGCTTTCATTATTGGATATGGTCTTGCTTTTTTTTTCACTTCCATTTTCACTTTACTAATGTAATGATGTGCAGCTCTTGTGCATTTTTTAGAAAAAACAATTGCACTTAAATGTCATAAAACAAGAAGGAATATATGGTTTTGCATGAAAAATCAAGCTGATGATAATCAGTTTGCCAGAGATGCATGCTCTAGGCTTACAAAAGCAATCCACACAGTCACGATATGGATTTGACTTGAGCATCATTTTTCTCAATTTCTTGCCACAGTTCCGCCAAATTATTGTCGATCCCTTGTTGATTCAAGTTTCAGCGTAACGAGAAACTCGAACAATGCTTACTCCACAGCTCCCTCCTGCTATTCTGCTATTATACACTGAGAAATGACAAACCAGGAACTGGTAATTTATGCCAGCATGGTTGTACTGAAACTATATTCCAATGCTACAGAAAAGTACAGGACCTTTTATTTTCGTACACTAATAATGTTGGACTCGTGCAGAGATTTCTCGACTATCGTCCTTCAAATCTCCCAAGTTTTTTTTTTTTTGACGCTGAAAGGTAGAGAGCCTCTACCTTATAACCATTTTATTAATGGTTGGTCGGTTGTTACAAGGGTAAGTGCCCGAAGAGAAAGTAGAGAAATACAGGAAAAATGGGAACTGAAAGTGAAGAGAAAGGAAGAGAAAACAACAAGAAGAAAGGAAATAGGAAATAGAGGTACAACATGGCAATAAAAGAGACAAAAGGAATATTTACATCAATTTGTTTAGCCAACATCTGACCTCAGGGCGGGCTGCAAGCTTGATCCTGTGCTCCCAGAGGGCCAGGGTATCTTTGATTTACTGTAGAAGGCCTGGCAGGCTGAAGCCATTCTGTCAATACACACTGTTGTTTCCGTGTTTCCAAGGATTATGCGCACAAGCAGCGAAAACAAATAGGCCATCCTGGTTTTAACGACTCTTGCAGCGATTCTCTAACTGTTTCCACAAATTGTAGGATATCGGTGCTGTTGATTGCTTGATCCTGAAGGCCTAGTTTCTTCCAAAGCTCGTTGGCAA